GGGGGAAAGTGCAGTGGCTGGATAGCTCAATCTGTTGAGTACTGTACCTAGCTACAGACCCAGAGCCCAAGAATTTGATTTACTGCCATGCCTCCTGGGAAAAGAATCAGCTTGCATAGCCGTGGACAAGCAACATAATCTCAGAGTGCCCCCAGAAGAAGGGAAATACATGTATTTCACAGAGAGAAAGCTTGCTCAAAGAGAAAGGATTTTGCCTGCTTGTGGAAGGGGTCAACTGGCTTCCTGTGGGCGGGAGTTCCAGAGCCTGAGAGCAGCAACAGGGAAGGCCCTCTCCTGTGTCCCCACCAAATACACCTGATAAGGTGGTGGGATTGAGAGAAAGGCCTCTCCTGATGATCTTAACACCTGAGCAGGTTCATAAAGGAAGACATGTTAGCAATCTGACTGCTGTGTTTTGGACCCACTGAAGTTTTCAGAGACTTTTCAGAGGCAGTCCCACATAGAGTGTGCTACAGTAGTCCAGCCAAGAGGAATTAAGGCATGTGTCCATGTGGTCAGATCAGACCTTTCCGGGAATGGGTGCAGCTGGCACACTAGTTTTAATTGTGCAAATGCACTCCTGATTAAATGGTAAACCACTTCTGAATACCCATTACTTAGAAAACCCTAAAAGCATTACCATAAGCCAAATGGATTTGTCAGCATGTTGTTGTTGTTAAGGAAAAAATGTATTGGCTCAATAACCCTGGAGACTGGTTTGGGTACAGCACAACCTTATTGTTTATAGACCTGCTCTGTCCAGGGTCAGAGTGACCATGAGGGGACACAGTGTCTGAGAATGAGAAGAAATAAGCTCACATACCCAAGAGTTCACACAGTGTCTGAGAATGAGAAGAAATAAGCCAGAAGGAGCTCACATGCCCAAGAGTTCGCATACCCAAAGAGGCATAGTCCAAAGAGGCTTCAATTAAATTTGAAGGCTAGAGACGGATAAAGCACAACACTCTGGATGTTTTTGATCTGCAATACCCAGCGTACTTCACCTTGGGTTATGGTGGTGAAGGCTGATGGGAGTGGCAGCTCAAGAACATCAGGGAGAACCATATGCCCCCATCCCTCATATAACTTGACTCTCAAAGTGCTTAACTCTGGAGTGATTGTAGACTAGATTTGTGTCCTGGTCATGGTGGGCATTCCAGATGGGTTACATTGTTCACTGCACTATCTAAATGGCAATTGCTTCTCAGATGAGGTGATCTATAGATCTGGTATGGAAATATGTGGCCTTACAGATGTTGTTGGAGTACGATTCCCATCATGCTTCACCCTTGGCCTGGGCTGGTGGAGTTGCAGTCTGGCAACATGGGGAGGGAGCGATAACTTTCCACCCCTGATCTATGTGAAGTTTTTAAAAATCCTTTAAAATATCTTGAATGCCTTGAAGAGGATCTGACTTTAAGAATTTTTAAAACATGTTTCCTTCACCGAATGAAAACGCAGCGGGGTACGTGTGTGTGTGTGTGTTTGTGTGTGTGTGTTTGCATAGCCTGCTAAAATAAGGCCATCTCCCTCTCCCCTTCTTGAGCCTATGAGAGAGGAAACTGTATTTATATCAAGGCCTCGCGGGCATATATAATTTATCTGGGTTTATTCATATTTGTAAACAAAATCCCTGTCATGAATTTTTGATGGAAAGCGAGACAATGGCTTTGGGAGATGGGGTGAAGGGGGTGGGTGGGTTGTAGGCTTTCCAGGCTGTCACTGAAATTGTGAAGTGTGTGTGTGTGAGGGAACAGTCAGATCACAGAGGACAGGGGGAAAGGGGGAAAAATACACACCTTAAGCTGGCTTTTGAGTTTGGGAGGTGCAAATATGTGTGAGTGAGGGTTGAAACCTACTCCCTGTGTTGATTTATTCCTACAGCGTAGGAAAAAAACAACCCTTGGGGCATCAGATATAACAAGGTAAATAACAACGCATCAAATCTCCCCCTTGCCAACTGCACACAAGCCAGCTACAGCCATCTTAGGGTTAGTGAACAAACTACTGTACCCAGCATCTGGGAGGAGGGAAAGAGTACTTCTGAATCAGAGGCCTTTAAGTGATTTTAAATAACAAACTATTGGGAGGGGTGATGGAAATAGCACCAATCTTTTAAATAGCACCAGATCTTGTCCTTCAGGTGAAAATAAGATTTCCCATAATGATGGAAACTGACACCCTAAGGGATCCAGGTAAGTTCTTGGGCAAAGCCTTAGAAAGAGTTATGTGGCTTGAGGTGTATAAATCATCATCATCATCATCATCATCATCATTGGGCCAGTAATAGGGAATTCTGGGAGTTGTGGCCTTGAGAGAGAGAGAGAGAGAGAGAGAGTAGTGGATGGATAAGGGATCATTCCAAGAACACTGTGTGGGAGACGTGGTAGCAGGAGTGCAGGGCTGTGATTCTCTGGCTCATCCTTGGAATATGTTCATTCTGAGTGAGGAGTGGACTGTTTCAGTGAAAACAGGGCTTATCTTGGCCAAAGGATGAGGGCACAGAGAGTTTAGGAACAGAAGTGTGCTTCCTTCTGGAGGGTGTAGAAATAAACTGCTTAGCCTCCAGGTCTTGTTAGCAGCCATGACCCATCAGCCCCAGACACCATGGCCAGTGGTTCAGGATGATGGGAATTGTAGTCTGATAATAACTAGGGTATGTGCAAAGTATGCTTCTCCCTGACATAAAGCCTACAAGCCATATTAGTGAAAAGAAGTAATCATGGTCTTGAATCAATCTGTCCCTTGCATATTGGACTGCATCTGTGATTATTCCTCAAGAGGAGAGAGAACATTTCATGCCGACTCACTAGTTTTACAACTGAATGGGCTGAAATCTGAGGGATCAGTGCGAAATATGCAAGGCTTCTTAGTTTCAGGACGTTGGTCTGCCTGTTATAAACTCTACATAATGTTTACAACAAATATTAATAAAATATATTCAATTTTTTCCTGGCAATTTAGTTTTGTATTTCAGAAAAAACACAGGCAGACACCATTTTGGACAGCTAAATGCATTAGTTTGTTCAAAAGAGGAGGAGGAGGCTTTATCCTGGAGAGACTGTTTGAAATTAATAAATTCACAGATACATTGTCTGAGCGTTAACTTCCAAAGGAAACGGTGTGGGTTGGTCTTGAAACTTTGATCCCCTCATTCTAAAATTAGGCATTTAGATCTAAACTTGCTGGCTTGGGATCAGTTCAAGGATGTAACAGGTGGCTCATTGCTAAGTCTTCTCCTAGCAGGGACAACATGTAGACCTGGTTGGGAGGAGTCCCTCACAGAAAAAGTTCAGGTGGGGCACCTTTCTGCCCTATTCATGAGCAATCACTAACTCCTGGTCACCCTTCTTGGCTGTACAAATAACTTTTTCATTTCAACACCTCTAATACTATAAGAGAGTGTAATGTCTACCTTTATTAGACACTTTATTTTACCATGATCTCTCTTTTACTTTCTCTCCAGCATGGATAACATCCACACATATAGGCAAATAAAGCAGCTCTAAAGCATCTTTATTGTCAAATAGGGAAACACCTGTTGAAGGGGTCTCACATCAAGCAAATCTATAAGCAGAGCTTAGGACAGTGGGAATGTTGCCTGGGGATTCTGGGAGTTGTAAAAAAAAGAAAAGAGAAAGGTATTTTTTCCTCAAGCTTTTGATGTAAGGCAGAAAACTAGGTAAGAGACATGGCTTTCCACAATGTATTTAGCCTATGGCCATTTCGTCTTGAGAGTAAAGGGAGAGGCAGGCATAAAGAGTTACTTGCTTCTGACTGTAGTGAGCAAACATCAGGACTGAGGCTCACCTACAGATGCGATGGCGAGAGCAGGTTATGAGCCATGACAGGTGATTTGCTGGGAGAAGTGATAGTGCCTTTCCTGAGTGTAACCAAGGACTAGGCTTTGAACTTTCAGGCTTTAATGTCAATATGAGATGGGACAGGAATTGACTCGATAGCATGCCAGTTATTATATGCTGGCCGCCTAGCACAGTAAATTGTGTACCCAGCTGCAGAGGTAGAGGTTGGGAGTTCAATTCCCCACTGTGTCTCTCAGGAGAAGAACCAGGCTATGGAGCCTGGGCCAAGCTACAGACTCCCATAGTAGCTCTAGAAGAAAAGAACGGTGGGTAAACCACTTCTGAGCACCCTATACCTAGAAAACCCTGGAAAGGGTTGCCATAAGTCAGAATCCATTTTTAATTTTTATGATTAATTATTATTCAAAGTCCAGCTAGAGACATTTTGCTACTTCTGGAGAAGTACAAAATGGGGGGCATCCTACCCATTCCACTGAACACGACTCTGGTGGTGGTGGAAGAGCATCCTCCCGCTCCCCTGCGGATAGTGAGCCGGCTTAGAGGGAGCCTGGAACCCACAGCTCTGTCTTCCTCCCTCAGAGGTTGAAAACAAAAACGCAACAGGGGCTGCCCCTTACCCAGCACTTTGCGGCCAAAGAGAACCGCCAGACTCTGCCTAATGGCAAGGGCTGGCTCTGGGGTGGATCCAGTTCAATAAGGACCAAAGGTAGCCAGGCAGAGGGGTAGAAATAAGAGTGGAAGTTTGACACACACAGAGAGAGCGAGCCCTCCTGGTGGACTGGCGGGGAGTGGGAGAACATAAGAACTTCTTCTCTTTGGAGAAGGGGGGTCGATGGCCATTTCCCATCCCAGAAGAAGACAGACTCCATTTGCCTCCTGTAACAAGATCCTCGTGATGTGAACCCACTCAGGCACCTCAGCTCCAAGTATAGAGAAAAAAAAATGATGAGAGGAAGCTGTACCTCTTCTCAGGAGAAAGCTACACCTGTTGGGAGGGAAGTATGCTCAGCAGGCAACGAAGGCGGAGAGGAGACGGGGGGGGCGTAGCCATTTCGGGACAGGGTGCGGGCATGGTGATTTAGGGGCTCCCTAGAAAGTAGGTGGGGGACCTGTGTCCCCCCCCCCCGGCGAGTTCATAATAGTTGGAGGGGGACAAGGACGGGGAAGAGGACTTACTGTTGGTTTCGTCTTGAGGATATGGAGGTTTAAGAGCGTGTTCCTCATCGGGGCGCCCTGGGTGCCGGGGCTGCGCGGGCTTCCTCGGCTCGAGTCCGGCGACGGGAAACAGCTGCTCCGGGAGTTGTTCGCAGAGCCCGCCGCGTCCCGGTGGCAAATATTGGACGGGGGAAGGCGGGGTAGCCCACCCCACCCTTCGTCTTCCTCCTCCCCTCCCACCTATTG